GCTGTTTGCACAGTTGCAGACCTGTTAGTAAGGCCATTAGCTCAGCCGCTGTCGGTGGTGGGACTCCTAATCATCTCTGAAAACCAATACGCCATCTTCCTGCAGCATCCCTTACCAGACCTCCACACACTGCCTGTCGATGTTGATTCACGGATCCATCTACATCAAGTCTCATGACTCCTTCCAAAGGGGGGGCGCCACTTCTCTTCCCTTGACGCTGCAGCACCAAATATCATGTGTTGCAACCTTCCTCTTTCCGTAGACTCCATGAGTTGGTAGAGTAGCGTGTGTCTAATTTCCTTAGCCGAAAACCGTTGTCCCTCAAGCACACCTCTGCATCTGTTCTTCCAAATGAGCCAGCATGTTGTGATAAAGACCTTTGGCCAGCTCCATTTTGCAAAGTATGCGTTTCCTGCTCTTGTTGATAAATTTTGCTTCATCCAAACCTGCAAGTTAGATTGAAAAAAACTAAAAAGAAGATTGGGATGCACAATATTTATCCAGATTTCTCTAGCTATCTCACAGTCTCTCAAAATGTGTAGAGTGTTTTCCTCACCCAAGCACTCAAACGGGCACTCCTCACTTGTTTGGACTCCTCTCTTTTTTCTAAGTGCGTTGGTAGGTAGTCTCTCTTGAATAGCTTGCCAAAGGAAATATTTCATTTTTTCTGGAACCGGAAGCTTCCAGATGACCTTCCACTGAGCTCTATTATTAGTGCGGAGATGTCTGAAGGTTTTATTATACGCGGCTTTGACATTGAAATTCCCATCTGAAGCTGCTTGCCACCAGAATTCATCTTCCCCACTGCTACTCAGTGTTTTCATCTGCTCGAGTATTGCAATTACTTCATCTGGGAAGAAATCCCTCCATCTGTGAACATCCCAACGGCCATTAGGGAGAATGAAGTGACTCACCTTCTCAATAGAAACAATTCTCGTAACATTTCTTTCTACTAGATGAATTAGTGGTATTTCCAAAGGTGTCCATAAGTCCCACCAGAAGTGGGTTTGGTTGCCACTTTTAATTCTTCGGCCTACACCTTGATAAAATTGGTCCCAAACCATTTATATATATATTTGAATATATTTTACAGTATATATACATATTCACACTTCAATCCATAATTTATTCTTTTCTTTAGCTAACATCTAAATGTGGGTGTGATAACTTGCCTAATCTATGAGATAATCAACGTAAGAGCGGAGATTGGAGCGAAGAAGCTTTTGGTCTTGGCAGAGACACGAGTTGATACTTGACACCCCTTCTCGAGACAAAGGAGGAAAGGGAAGTTGAGAAAGAAAGAGGGAAGTGAGATGAGATAACATGGGCACTCAAATGACATGTGGACTTGAAAAAAATAGGAAAAATTAATCTTTCGGTTCTTATAGTTTTGACACGTTTGTAACTTAATCATTATATTTTGACTCGATCCAACTCGATCTTTATAGTTTTGACAAGTTGTAATTTAATTCCTAAAGTTTGACTCACTGCAACTTGATTTCTATAGTTTTATCTATTCTATAATTTAGTTCTTGTGTTTTTAAAAAAATAAAATTATATAAGGAGGGATTATATTATAAAATAGTTAAAAGTATAAGGATTGAGTTACAGTAAGTCAAACTTCAAGAACTGAGTTATAATCAAATCAAAACTATATGGATTAAGTTGGACTGAGTCAAAATATAAGAATTAAGTTATAAATAAGTAAAAACTACAGTGACCAAATGATTAATTTTCCAAAAAAGTAATAGAAAAAGATTTATTTATATTTTTACATCCAAGATTATTTATGGTGATAGCAATACTTTGTGCAAAAGATTATGGGCATTTTTAGATTTTTACCCATAATTTTTCACAACATATTTTTTCATCAAAATCATGGTTTTGGTACAAGTTACCAAAAATTAGTTGTAATATGTATAGAAATAGAATCCGGTTATATATTCTTATAAAAGAAAATAATCCGACTATATTAGAAGTGATTTAAAAATTTTTTGAAATGTTTGGGAATCAAATTGAAAACTCAACAGGACCAATATTAAATTTCACAAGGCATTGATTCTATTTTTGGTTATTAAAATTTAATCTTATTTTAGTTTTAATTCTTAAATTTGAAATTAATAATTTTGGTTTTTGAAATTTGATTTCATTTTGATTTTAGTCATTAAAATTTGAAACAAATGATTTTGATTGTTGAAATTTGACCTCATTTTGATTTTGATCCTTATTTTACGAACTAAAAATTTGAAGTCAGATTAAAATGGAATTAAATTTTAGGGATCAAAATCACTTATTTAAAATTAATGTCACATTAACCAAAATCAAAATAATATCAATTTTAGGGACCAAAATTATTAGTTTGAAATTTTAAAAACTAAAACTAAAATGAGATCAAGTTTTAGCGTCTAAACGTTCCCAAATACTCTACCTAGTTCAAAATATAAGTATCAAATCTTTAAAAGGGTTTGGGTTTTTTATAAGCATCACTTTAGATTTGTCTAATAATTTAATACTTTTATTTTATTTTTATCCTTAATTAATTTTATGTCTCTTATCTTTTTCTTCCGCTCATTCTCTCTCCTCTATTTACCCTTTCCATAAATAAAATATTTTAGGGAAAAAATTTGTATTATTTTACATATTAATTGTCTTTAAATAATTTTTTAATTATGTTAATTAATTATTTGATGGTTGTATTTTGAATTAAATTAATTTTTGGAGAAATGGGAAATCACAAATAAAGACCCTCAAATTAGCAAAATCACTCTATGGTCACCTGAATATGCCAAATTACCATGAGGATCCGGTCTCAAATTGTAATTATGAAATCATGGCCAAATTACCAAAATACTCCTCTTTAATTTTTTTTTTAAAAAAGAAAGCCACTGCCTCACCGGAATCCAGCCACCGGCGCCGGAGCTCCGGCGGCCGCTTCCGGCCACTGTCGGCAGCCGGACGCTGGGGTCCGGCGGCCGGAGCTCCGGCGGCCTTCCTTTGTTTTTTTTTTTTTGCAACTGTTTTTTTTTTAAATAGTGGGGGAAGTGAGGTTGGGGGGATTTGATCCCCCAACCTAATGCTTCCCAAAATAAGGAATGACCATTAAGCCAACAAATTTTTGTTAACATTATGATGCAAAAAAAAATATAAGTTAACTCATTTACTCTTGTTCCAGGTGATAACAACAATACATTTGGAAATAACAAGTTCTGATTGTAAAATGACACGTCTGGAATAAAAATTTAACAATATGTTTTTTTTATAACAATAAATTTTGTTGCAGGTAATAACAACAATACATTTAAAAATAACAAGTTCTGATTATAAATAACAAGTTTGGGATTAAAATTTAACAATATGTTTTTTTTTATAACAATACACTTTGTTTCAAGTGATAATAACAATACATTTAAAAATAACAAGTTCTGATTATAAGATAATAAGTCTGGGATTAAAATTTAACAACACGTTTTTTTATAACAATTAATTATTTTATACTTTTAAAAAATAAATTATTTATAACTTATAAAAATATTTTTAATATATTTATTTCTCTAAAAAATACTTTTTAATCTGTATATCTATACAACTCATTATAAATCAAACTACTTCTTATAAATTATAAAGTATTTATAATAAGGCATTTTTAATCTATTAATCATAGTATAAATTTTATATTATTTCATTCTTTAAATATTAAAAATAGTTGTTATATTTAAAGAATAAAATAGTATTTTTAATTATAAATTAGAGATAAATTTCATTTATAAATTTAAGCAGTCAAAAAGTATTTTTAATCTACAATAAATTGTACTATTTATAATTTATAAGAAGTAGTTTGATTTATAATAAGTTGTATAGATATATAGATTAAACATTTTCTAAAAAAAATTAAAAAAGTGTGTTGCCATTTTCCCTAAATTTTATTTATAAATTTGAACAATAAAAAAGTATTTTTAATCTATAAAAAATTATACTTCAAGTTCTGATTATAAATTGGAGATAAAAATTATTTTTTTAGCAAATTAAATAGATTACAAGTACTTTTTATAAGTTATAAATAATTTATTTTCCAAAAGTATAAAATAATTAATTGTTATAAAAAAAATGCTGTTGAATTTTAATTCCAGACTTGTTATTTTATAATCAGAACTTGTTATTTTTAAATGTATTGTTGTTATCACTTGAAACAAAGTGTGTTGTTATAAAAAAAACGTGTTGTTAAATTTTAATCTCAAACTTGTTATTTTATAATCAAAACTTGTTATTTTTAAATGTATTGTTGTTATTGCCTGCAACAAAATTTATTGTTATAAAAAAACATATTGTTAAATTTTTATTCCAGACATGTTATTTTAGAATCAGAACTTGTTATTTCCAAATGTATTATTGTTATTACTTGGAACAAGAGTAAATGAGTTAACTTATATTTTTTTTTGCATCATAATGTTAAAAAATTTGTTGGCTCAATGGTCATTTCTTATTTTGGGAAGCATTAGGTTGGGGGATCAAATCCCCCCAACCTCACTTCCCTCAGTATTTTAAAAAAAACAGTTGCAAAAAAAAAAAAAACAAAAGAAGGCCGCCGGCGCCGGAGCTTCGGCTGCCGGACCCCGGCGTCCGGCCGCCGGAGCTCCGGCGCCGGTGGCCGGATTCCGGTGAGGCAGTGGCTTTCTTTTAAAAAAAAAAAAAATAAAGAGGGGTATTTTGGTAATTTGGCCATGATTTCATAATTACAATTTGAGACCGGGTTCCTCATGGTAATTTGGCATATTCAGGTGACCATAGAGTGATTTTACTAATTTGAGGGTCTTTATTTGTGATTTCCCCTTAATTTTTTGCCAACTTTAAATTAAATTAAAATTAAAGTATTCTAACTTTAGCGGTTGGCCGAAAAAAAAAATAGTGGTAATAGCGGATCTTCGCCCTATATAGCCTATCCCCCGCTATCGTGAAGCGAAAGCTTATCCCAAGCCGCCTCGGCCAAACGCGATGAACAATAACCCCTTCGAAACCCTAAATGCACTGTGAGCTTTACGGCGCACGAGGTAGGCAGTGTACCCAGGGCTTACAACATCTACTCCACAGATCCTGAGTCACGGAAGCGAGGAATTGAGAATATCAATTTATTTTTGTTTATGTCTGAGTTGTTAGGTTGAAGTAATCGGATTTGGTGTTCAAGTTGGTGCGCAACTTTCCCTCTTCACTCAGCTATGGTCAGTTTCGTGCGTCCTATTTGATCATTCAGTTACTACTAGTTAGCTTCATGTTGCTTCTTGTTTTTCTTTGTTTCTTACTTGAAGCACTACCAATCGAGCCCCGTGGGCATTCCTGATTCTTACTCTATAATGGTTTGTGAGATTAACAAAGCCCATTTCCATTCAATGCCGATACATGTTATTCTTTTCGTAAAGAGCATAAAGGGAAAACCCAAAGATAGCTATATTTGAGAGTGGGTATTTTCTGTGGCTTTTGCTATAGTTAAATCGAAGTGGTGGAAGAGACCGGTTTAGAAGGGATTACCCTTCAAGATTTGAAGATAAAGGCAGCAGCGGGCGCAGCACCAGCAGCAACCCCCCTTCCAGGCACCTTTGGGTTGGGAATCTGTCGCACAGTATAACAGAGAATGACCTTGCTCGTCATTTTCTGCAGTTTGGACCACTTGAAAGCGTTGCATTCCAGCCTGGTCGTAGCTATGCTTTTATCAATTTCAGAAGGGATGAAGATGCTATTGATGCTTTGAATGAACTTCAAGGTTTTCCTGTTGCAGGCAACCCGCTTAGAGTCGAGTTTGCGAAGGCGGTCAGTCCTGCCCACCTTTTTCTGTCCAATACTTTTTCAGATGCTTTTATATGCGCATATGTACATTCTCCAGCAGTTCAAATAAATTATATATTCAAGGCCAGAATATGCTTAATTTAAATGGGAAAAACTTGTAAGGCAGCCTTGGCATCCAACTCACTGCATGTGATGTAAATAAAATAGACCATAAAATTAAGTGCTTCATAACATGCCCATGACATAAAAGATGCAGAAAAATTGCTGCTTTCCATTCAATAAATGGTTCAATCCAAGCAACGGTACATAGTGATAAATTCACTTCTCCAGAAGAATAAAGTTACTATCATTATCTGGATGCATACAGCATGAGCTGTTCACTACCTTTCTCTTGTTCTGAACTTATTTTTCGCATAGCGGACTCGGGGGCCAAAAACTGTGTCAGATGTCCTTGTGATATAATTTTGTTTTAAGGAGACGGAAATGTGATAAGATTTTGATCTCTATGATTTCTCATGCCAAATGCATTAAAAAAAGTGAGAAAAAAATAGCAATGTTCTTTTGCTCCTATTGCCAGCCAGAGCCAGATTAGGCAATTAGATAATTATATAATATATAATAACATCTTATTCTTAGACCTGAAGAACATGTTTGTATAAGATGAATATAAATTCTGCCCTGATCAAACTTTTAACGTCAACGCACTGGCTTCAATAAATCTATTAATCTAACAAGGTGTAAGATTACCATCATTCAAATGGAGTTACTATTCCAGATTACAGTATTTACAAGTCTTTCAATCAAACAGGATGCTTTGAGTTAATTTCTTGCCAGAAAAATTGGAGCTTTAGCTACTCAGTAATCATTCATTTATACTGTCTTTTCTTGGAGCTTCTTATACTATACAATTGGTAGCCTTTGCATGCTCGTAGACTATAGCCATTGTGGAAAAAATTTCTTGAGAAAACGAGGAAAGAAACTTCACTGAAGGCAGTAGGTCTTCTATGCCCTTGGCAGTTCAACTTTGGGTAGCAATCCCCATTACTTGCACTATGAGCTAGCAGCTTATCATAATGATAATATGTATCCGAGCAATGAGCAATGAACATGATTGTAACTGATGAACTCTGGATTCATCTCCCACTTTCATCCTAAATAAAATAGTTTATTCCTAAGGGATGAGTAATGAGAGCATGCACATTTTCCAAGGTTGGCAGATTATTTATTCTTTGTTAGCAATTCAAATCCTCTAATTACAGTGCCATAGCATTTGAAAGAGAGCTAAAATGGCTTTGTATTGAGGCATTTTAATCCGGTGGAGGAGATATAGTTGACTGGTTTTGAAGCAGTTGAACAACTTGAGTTTAACAAGTTACATATGCACCTAAGTTCAATTCATAACCTGATTAAATGTTTCTGTTAGTAGAAGAAAATATTGGTCAATATATGAGAAAATAAATGCAAATCAGAATGCTACTAAAGATGAAAGACAGATCCAAAATCTCACTTCTTGTTTCCAATCCATGGATATTGTAAGTAATTTGAAAATATTTCAATTCCTTAATATCTCTGTAAAAAGTTGGGGAAATGTGGAGTGTTTTGCTGACATCATTTTGGTGATGCTTGGTTATAACTTAAGACCCACAGCAAGTTGCATTGTACCACATAAAATAGCCTTTCATTTTAATTATTTCTGGCTTTCAATGGCTTACATGGGGCATCTGATTCGCTGTCAAATATTCAATCAGTTGTTCATATGATGTCCGAGGCTTTGATGTTTGATCAATGCCTGCTTGCAATTCTGATTATCAGCCAAACACCATGAATTGTACCACAGCACACTCTTTAACTATTGGAAAGCACCTTTAAGCTGTGCAACTGCAGGGTATAATAGGAATCTTGTTAAGTATTGCTATCCAAATGGGATCTTTCAAATTGTAGAAATTACGGATGGAGCATTGATATGAACTATGGATGCCTTAGATACAGAAACTTGTGAAAAGGAAATTTTGCCCAACTAAAGATTCTTCCAGAACCTGATATTGGTATATGTTACTGGAGGTTAAAGAAAAAGTATTCTCATGAGCGATAAACATCAACAAACGTGAGCAGTCTGGACCTTCATCACATGATGCGAGGTTCCAGGATTTGCTGTGGCTGCTGTTAAAAGCCTAAACTTTGCCATGGTGCTATGGCAGATGGTTGCCAGATGTTGTTGTATTGAGGCAACCGGATTTGAAGAACATTTTCGAAATGAAAAAATAATAATAATAATATACAAACATAACGAAAGGGATTTAAGAGGTAGTGGAGAACGATGATCACATGAGAAGGTGGGATAGTCATCCTCATCCTCCTAATTTTCTGCTCATCGTTTACTGTATCACTAACAATGGACATAAAATACCTTGTTCTTCATGCAAAGGCTGTACCTTTTAAAATAGAATCATTAATGTCATTTAGAGAGGCAGGACAGAGACAGGATGAGATGCTTTGTCAGAAAATTCAAAACGATGAAGGAAACAAAATCGAGCTGGAGGCTAAAGGAGCTCCCTAGTAACATGAAGGAGGGTTCCAGCCAGGTTTTGATCAGATTTAAGGCCCGAGAATCCTTCGATGGAACTCCTGGGCTCATGACAGATGTGAACAATCTCCTCTGCTTACCCACTTGAACGTGGTCCTTGCCATAAATTGATGGCTGCCACAGCTATATTGCAGCCATCATGCTGAGACTATTGTGCTATTCCTATGAGCTTGGCAGCTTCTAAACTGCGATAAGCATGATACACTTCACACATTTGCAATGGAATTTTTTCTTTAGTGGTATCAACCAGGCAATAGGGTTCATCCTAGCAAATGTCCTAATTTTCACTTTGATTGAGAAGTCATAGATCCCTTGAACTTTGACCTTCCTGCACTTGCAACTTTGTAATACTCAAAATAACCTTACAACCTCCTATAGCTCCACAATTGTGGTGGCAGCATATTTCCACTCACTCTCTCTCCAAATTAATTGTAGAATTTGGTCGTCTAAAACTGTGGGAGGCTTAATTATTATACTTGTCAGTTTACATTTTAAAGTGAGTAAATCCAATTTAACTTTACAACCATAATCTACCTACTGGCCGTTATGGTTTCTCTAGGGCACTAATGGTGACTTATAGATTGAATTTCTGCTGTGAGGCTCAAGTAATACGCTTTTTACAATGAATTTGAACTGTAGAAGAGGTTTATTTGCCTCAATTGCAAAAGATAAGTGGTACAATAAGGGGCATACGAAGCAATGATCAAAGTAAAAGAGATTCTATAATTATCCTGTTGATTGGACCCCTTTTACTTTCTAAAACCAGTATACATGTCATAGAGATGAGAACCATGTATTTCTTGACATCCTAGCTGTGGTGACCTCCTAGTACGTATATATAAGATTTTTTTTTTTTTTCCTTTTCTTTTCAAGTGCTTTGCTCTTATATATTATGAATCAATTTCGCCCTAGTTGCTTCGTATTGACACATGACACAGAAGCAACCTTTTTGTTTGGCTGAATAAACATGACATCTACTTGATCGCTTAACTATGTAAAGGACCAATTTGGTTTTAGTCTCTGTTAAAATTGACTTTAATGCACTCTGTTCTTTTGGGTAATTAGAACTGGAAGCAAGGCGCAAACCCCTTGTGATTGTCATGAAGCGTCAACTATTGTTTTTCCATGGAGCCTCCCTTTTCTCTTTTGGCAAGATAGACTTACTTAATGTTATTTAACATCTATTATCAGCTATAGGGCTTTGCTCTGCATTAGCATTTAAATATTACAACGATGTTTGACCCTATGTTTGTTTTAGAGTTACTTGTTACAAAATTACCTGGAATACAAGTCAATTGCTGGCAGCGGACATCTTGTCCATTTAAATGCCAGTTCGATGTGCATATGATAACCAACTATGGTTTAATCTTTGCAGGATTTCTTTTGGAATATGACTGGCATATTATTGAATTCTTGTCTTGGTCACAAGAATGAAGGGAAAATTTCCCACAAAAGGAACCTAGAAATTACTTAATCCCAAACAAGGAATTCCTATAAAAATTTGTTGTTATTTGCAAGTCAATGTAGTCAAAACCTGTTAAAGTGTTAAAAACAAGGGTTCCTCCTAAACACAATCTTTAACATTCGAGAGTAACACATTTTTCCTCAGTAATCATCCTACTCTCACTTTTTTTGTGGGTATTAGTTATCATTTCTTTTACTCTCAGTACCCTATCCAACTTTTCAGAATCAAACAAGAGCAGTGATTGTAATGCTGTGACGTTTTATGAACAAATTATTCCAGATTTAATTCTCAAATGATGTAGATATTGCAAAACTAGGTTTCTCTTGAGGCAAGAATTGACACTTCATGTATAGGGGGTTTGGTTAGTTGCATCATGTGGAATTATATTGATTCCTTGATATAAATGTACAAGATTTACTTAACTGCCATTGCTAATTCCACATGTAAAATACTCAATGGGTATGAATATAATAGTTCGGAAGTTTCTGTGCAGTATGTCTTGAAATGTATTGTGCAAAAATTTTCAGACAGAAAAGGGCAAAAATTGACCCATTTTGTATTTTACCAAGCTAAATTGAAATAGTTGAGATTGGTAGCTTCCGAATGAAAGAATATGACAATAAGCTTAATTCGTACATTGAATCCTGTTTCTTGATGGCCTAAGTGAATACACTACGTGAGTCAAAAGATATGGTTTTCTTTGTGCTTGGTTAAAGTGAAGGTAACTTTCTATTTGATTCCCTTGATCATTTGAGGGACCAGTGCCATCTGCTCTCAGACTTGTATGTGTCAAGTAAAATTAACTACCTGCCATGTTACTCGAACTTGGTTTGTACATTTCATTCGTTATCCCATTTAAATTTACTGAATTCTGAGTGCTTGAAAAATATTGGAATTTCACACAGCATGTTTGTAAATACAGGATAAGCCACCGTCACTAACACGTGATGATGATTACTCTTGGGATGAACGAAGCTCAGGGAGAAGAGGATCTCCTTTCTCTTCTAGAGAGTTTAGAGGACGCCGTGGTAGTCCTGAGCCTCCTTATCCTGACAAATCCAAGCTGACTGATAAAAACCCAGAACCCAGTGAGGTTTTGTGGATAGGGTTTCCATCTCAGTTAAATGTGGATGATTTAGCTTTGAGAAAGGCTTTTTCTCCATTTGGTGAGATCGAGAAGATAACAACATTTCCAGGTCGTAGTTATGCTTTTGTTCGTTTTAGGAGTGTAACTTCAGCACGCAGAGCAAGAGATACTCTGCAGGGAAAGTTATTTGGAAATCCACGTGTACATATTTGTTTTGCTAAGAGTGAAGCTGGTTCATCAAGCAGTGGGAGGTTTTCAATGAACACCCCTTCATCCCCATTTTACACATCAAGTGGCCGTCATGGATCGACTGAGAACTTGAGACAAGATAGGAGTGTTGCAGGCTTCAGTGGAGACCGTGGTGCTAGTTCCCCTATTATATTCCCAAAATGGGACTTGGCAGATCCTGATACTTATGATTCAGATAGAAGGGGTTCTTCACGGGCTAGTGGATTCAGTTCATATGAACAAAGGAGAGTTGGTGAAAAGGTGCCACCACTTGGAATACTACAGGACAGTCTTGAGCACTCAGTAAGTCCTTCTAGAGATAGGCAAGCTCATCTAGGTGCTTTTCCTCAGAGATATCCTCAAAAGCATGCATTGTTTGAAGATCCACGGGACTATCCAGATGATATGTATTATCAACATGACACCAAAAAACTGAAGACTGGATCTCTTCCTCCTGAAAAGGAGCTTCCAGAATATCCTCTTTCTGATTTAGAAAGGCAGAGACACACTTTCCTAAGGTTAATAACTGATTTGCCCCAACATGAGATCCTCGATAAAAGAATTGACGCTGGACCTGTTGTGCATAGACAAACTTTTGATCCCAGACCAAATTCCCCTTTTGCTCAGTCAGACAGGGATGAGCATTGGAAGCCTAGTGATAGTTTCCACGTGGGTCCCAGTGCTCTGCAATCATATTCTACTGAGAAGAGAAGACTCACACCTGAACCTGGTAACTCATCTTTAACTGAGTGGAAATGGGAAGGAACCATTGCCAAAGGCGGAACACATGTTTGTCGTGCTCGCTGCTTCCCTGTGGGGAAAGTCCTGGATATCATGTTGTAAGTAGAATGTGTCATCACATCAATAACTGATCTCTTGCTGTTTTGTTATGAATGCCATTGATTGTATGCCATTTCGCATCACAATATAGGCCAATGAAATTGCTATTAAAATGTACGTTCTAGGTTAGGATCTTTTTTGGCAACTGTAAAATTTAAATGATTAAGGTCTTCTTTTGTTGTTTTCCCCCACTAATGAAAATTCACCAACACTTCTAGGCAATGGAACTTCTTTAAAAAGGAAGGCATTGCAAGTTTTCTGTGGATTGATAATTTCTACTAAAATAAGGTTTGCAGTGGTTCTAGTTATGGGCTTAATACTAATGAATTGTTGTTCTTCCACATAACAAGTAAGGCTATACTCCATAGAGATATGTTTCATTTGTATCAACATTTCGAAAGCCCATTGTGTTTAACTTTTGCATTGCTTAAATGCATTTGGTTATATGGCATTTATGAGGATCCGTTTTTAAACGGTGGCTTTGTCCATATGGTTGCTTCTACGAAGTGGGAGGAAGCTATAACCTGTATAAATGGGTATTGGTTGAGCTAGATCTGTC